TATATTGTGTTTGAATAATCTACTGAGATGAGTTGTGCGAACCAACTGTTAAAAGGAGTGACTCATCCCTCAATTGGTGCATCATGTTACGATTAGAATAAAAAAATATATTGGCCTCATACTTTTCTTCTCCGTTGGAGAAAAGATACTAGAGAAAGGGAACACCTGTCCCTCTTCTCTTGGCTGTAAAGGTTTCAGACCGAAAAAATAAATTGAAAAGTAAGGCACCGAGAACTGGAAAGTAATGGATTGAAATTTCAAGGGAAAGAATTTATTTCAAATTAAAATCTTTTTCACACTCGAAATAAAAGATAAACAGCAAAACAATTCATCTTGAGATCCTGAAGCTCTACCTTTCCAAGGCAAATATGAAGGCCAACAAAATCATTGGAATTAGTAAAACCCAAATGAAAATTTTCCCTTAAAAAGAGAACATCAAGATCCAATCTTTGGCAGTCAAAACAGCTCACTTACTAACTAAAATTAAAAATAAAATAACAAAACTTGAAATCAATTTTAAATAAATCATTCCAACCTTAGTTTCATTCAGAAACACTTAATCAAACAAGAAAAAACAAGAGATCGAAGCAGTTTCCAATTACCTTCCCATCATCTCCGACAATCTCCTCTCCAATAGTCGCCGAAACTCCGACTCCAACCGAAATATGTATGGTTTTCCCAAATAGTTTGAACGCAGGATCTCTGCTCTCGGCCATCTCCCCTGTTTCTTTTCTTGTTTTTGAAGCTTCGTTTTTCCTTCTTCTTCCCGCTCTCTGTGTCCAGTTTCTTGCTTCACTTGTCTTTTATCCTGCGAGAAATACGAAGAGCGAAAAGGTCGGGGATTTGCTCTTTCTCTTTCTCTCTCTCTCTCTCTCTTTCTCTCTCTCTCTCTCTCTCTCTCGATGATTTGTTACCGTTGCGTTGCCTCTCTCGTTCTTCTCTGGGTCTTGGTTTAACGGATAGAGGTGAGGGGGAAATGGCCACATCAGCAGGGAGAGATGATTCTGGCCACAAGTTAGGTTGTGGCCGCGACAGAGCGTTATTTGATTCGGTCCGAATGGAAAGTTTAAAAGGATCACTCCAACTCAGCAACCAATACCGTGGCTTTAAAGTAATGATAATCCGCCCAACTTAATAAAGTAAAAACAAAAGCATCATTAGGCCCATAATATTGGCCAAATGAACTACATGGCCCACTGTTGAGAACACGGGAGGTAAGCGAGTTAGTCAATTCTTGAGCGGGTTTGAGCTCGGTTCAATAAGTTGCTCGTGAACAGAGCTCAAAGAATTCACAACTCATGCTCAAGCTAGCGCTGACTCGGCTAATCAACTCTTGATCCGGCTCATTTAAAAAATATACTTAAATATATATTAAATTTAAAAAATTTATCTTTAAAGTATTAAATTTTTTTAAATAAAAATATTTTCTTTTTTCTAGTAATTTTTTCTTATTATTTCTCTAACAATTGCTCATTATATCTGTCACTTTATTATAACATTATCTTAAATTAATATTATTTTCTCTCTTTTATAATAAATAAGTTGGCTCGTGAGTCTACTCAAACTCGTAGAGCTCAAGCTCGAACTTGATAAAATTAATCAAGATCAAGATCAAGCCGAGGGTGGCTCGAGTTCGTGACTTGACTTATTTTCACCCCTAGTTGAGAATTTATTTGAGGGTGAGTTTAATTAGGGCTTATAATATTTGGTCTGATTCAATTAATATCAAACAGATAATTATTTAAACTTCAAATGTTTTTATATCATATTATTTATTACTCAAATTATCAATAATTACCTGTATATATTTCATATGATATATTGAGATATTTTTTAACGTAATAATATTCATTTATATTTAAGAACTTTAAGAACGGTTGATTAATGCAGTCAAATTAATGAAAGCAATAGGAAATATATATATGACAGAAAAATGCATAAAAAGCAATCTATCGTAGTTAATCTTTCATATGCGACATAAGATTAATTGGGTGCTTAGATTGGCTTTATAGAATGAGATTATATTTTTAAAATAAACAGTTTATTAAACTAACAAAAAAAATATGTATTTGATGCCCTTAAAAAACTAAATTTTGTGTATCAACTTTTTCTATTTTCTT